ACACACACACACAGTCAATTGCTGTTAGTTGAAAGACAAATGAAATATGCTGAGGACTGCATAATGACAGATATTTTTATACTGTTAATGTACAGATTTTACTGCTTTGTTTGCTTACAGATAATAACACTAATAACATCATGTACACATCAGATTTTACAGATAACATATAGTAACATTATAGATCAGCATTACTTTATCTGTTGACATTAAAAAAAACTGTGAACATCAAAAATCTATTAAAAAAAAAAAAAAACATTAATTTGGTCTTTTATAATCTAAGATGATAAAAGTCATTATTTTACAGATACCTGCTGTTAGCTGGGAAACCAGAGATCTATTCAGGACTAGTATGTAAAATTAAAAGCATTAATTTACATGATGATTGTAGAAAAAAGGCCAAAATGGTGCTTAATGTTCATAAACAGTCAGACAGGAGTTTGTTCTTTTACAGTTTGAGTTTGACTGAATCTAAATCTGCTGAAAGCTTCACAGCTGTTTGCTGCTATTTGATCGTATTCAGGTGAAGAACTGATGAATGTGAATTAGTCTAAACGACTGTTTTCTAAACTTAAAGACTAAATCTATGAAATCACAACAGAAAGGTGTTAATTATTACTGTCGACCAAAAAAAACAGCCTCGACTGTCACTAGCTTCTACTGGAAAGAGAAATATATTTGTTATTTTGCCATATTTTACAAGTTTTACTGTTTATAAATCTGCAAAAAACATCTATAATTGAAAGACTAATGATTTCTATTAAAGACTGGAAAACGGTAAAAGTGTTTTTAACTCATATTTGAACTGTTTTGTCAAATTACAGAAACTGTCGAGTAGAAATAACGATTAAAAAGTTGTAGTTTACATGTCGACTGTCAGAAAAACTGTAAATAAAACGCACAATTCATTCTGTCAAATGATCGTTTTACTGTTTTTACATTAGCTTCAAATGTCCTTTTNTCATTCTGTCAAATGATCGTTTTACTGTTTTTACATTAGCTTCAAATGTCCTTTTTTAAAAAACAGATATTTACTGTTTGTTCCACAGTTTTCCTGCTTTATAGTATTTCACTGTTTTTAACGTGTTTTTGCCGCCAGAGTTTCACAGTTTCATTGCACTTATTGGTAGTTGGTTGGTTGGTTGGTTGGTCGGTTAGTTAGTTAGTTAGTTAGTTAGTTAGTTAGTTAGTTAGTTGGTTGATTGGTTGGTTAGTTTGTTATGTTGGTTAGTTAGTTAGTTAGTTGGTTGATTGGTTGGTTAGTTAGTTATGTTGGTTGGCTAGTTAGTTAGTTAGTTAGTTAGTTAGTTAGTTAGTTAGTTAGTTGGTTAGTTGGTTGGTTAGTCAGTTTGTTGGTTGGGTAGTCAGTTAGTTAGTTAGTTGGTTAGTTAGTTATGTTGGTTGGTTAGTTGATTAGTTAGTTAGTTAGTTAGTTAGTTAGTTAGTTAGTT